CCCCCCCCCCCCCCCCCCCCCATCTTCTCAGTGCTCTTCTCCTTCCTTAGAACTGGAGCTCTGCACATCCCAGGCCCAGGGAATTTCAGCCTGGAGAATTTTAACCCTTTCCTGCTCAGAGCATGTGCTGAGCCCCTATCTGTGCAGATGGCCCAGCCCCGCCCCCCGTCCCTCACTCCAGCCTCTTGAGCTCAGAGCCAGTGTAATCCTCCTCTTGTGTGAGGGAGCCTCTCCCCTGCAGAGAGGAGGAAAGCCTGCCTCGGAACAGCCCTGGACAAAGGGGCTGAGATGCCCCATCAAACTGCAGGCTCCAAGGTTTGAAACACGGGGATGAATCCTATCCGGTATTTGCAGTTTTTAACCCCTTCCCCAGGCCAGCAGAGCCCCTTAACTTCCACTCCTCCCCCAACTCTCTCTTCATTCCCTCTCCCTCTGGCTCTCTCCCCCTTCATGCCCCTCCCCCTCTGTCTGTCTCCAGACTCTCTGCTGCTGGGAGGTGTTTCTCTCCCATGCATGAATGAGTCTCTGTAATGAATGGAAATGAATGGATCAGGAATCCAGGCGGAGGGAGGGAGAATGAGGGGGAAAAGACAGGATAAGGGCAGAAGGAAGGACTGTGGAGTATGGAAGGTTGTTTGGCTGGCTGGTCAGTTAGGGGTCTGAGAGCAACTAGTCCCACTTGGATAACTGGGGAGCATGGCAGGCCCACCCCATTTGCTCATCAAGCTGTATAGCCCGACTTAAATGAGAGAGGGGTGTATTGTGATGGTTTCCACCACCAGGGGGTGGTGATGGTGGTGGTAGTTGGTGGTGGTGGTGGTGGTGGTGGTTAGTGGCAGAGGTGGTGGTGGTGGTGGTGGTTTGGACTAAGCATGTAAAATGAATAATTTGGGGGAAGACAGCTGGGTTATCAGGGAGCCTGTGGGCTGGGCAAATCAAGGAGTACAAGTTTTGAAGACAGTAGTCCCCTCCTGTCTCAGGATACAAGGAAGGAGAATGAAGGGATAGGTTTCAGCTAAGAGTGCTAAGAGTATGGGGTTGGGGGTGCCTCTTTCCACTGCTGAAAACCAGGGCTCATCTTTTCCTCCAAATCTGTCTCCCTTGCTTTAGCTCTTCAGCACCTGTTGCCTTCACTAGCAGCTTTTCCTCCTCCTCTTCCCTGCACTCCCAAGAACCAAAGAATGTGAAGGGGGTCCATGGAGGTGAGTGAAGAAGCTCTGGCTTGAACCTGCAAGTACTTACAACTATACTCCTCCCCCTCCCTGTTTCTCTCTCTCTCTGACCTCCCATTATTAGAAGTTATGTCTGTGGCCCCAACAGCTCAATTCCCATTCACATCCCACCTCCCCCACGGTGAGTGGGAAGGGCACTTGGTGTTCTTGATTCAGGCCCCAACCCACCCTCCCTCGGGTGTTCTTCTGGCCTTCTGCGCCCTTGCTTTTCCCACAGCTCTCCCTTCTCCACCCCTTGCACTGTTACCATCTTTTTTCACAGGGCTCACGTCCCCGTGCCCCGGGCGGCCACTTAGCGCCCTCGCCGCCAGCATTCGACGGCGAACTGGATCTGCAGCGCTACTCCAACGGGCCAGGCGTGAGCGCCGGGTCTCCAGGGATGGGAGCAGTGGGCTGGTCCGAGAGTCGCGCAGGCGAAAGGCGCTTCCCCTGCCCTGTATGCGGGAAGCGCTTCCGCTTCAACTCTATCCTGGCTTTGCACCTGCGGGCGCACCCGGGCGCCCAGGCCTTCCAGTGCCCGCACTGTGGCCACCGCGCAGCGCAGCGGGCCCTGCTGCGCTCTCACCTGCGCACGCACCAGCCCGAGCGCCCGCGTAGCCCGGCCGCACGCCTGTTGCTGGAGTTGGAGGAGCGTGCGCTACTGCGCGAGGCCCGGCTGGGGAGAGCCCGAAGTTCAGGGGGCATGCAGTCCACCCCTGCCACCGAAGGCCTGTCGCGGCCCCAGGCTCCTTCGTCGTCCACTTTCCGTTGCCCTTTCTGCAAAGGCAAGTTTCGCACCGCGGCGGAGCGCGAACGCCACCTGCACATCCTGCACAGGCCCTGGAAGTGCGGCCTGTGCAGTTTTGGCTCCAGCCAGGAGGAGGAGCTGCTGCATCACAGCCTGACGGCCCACGGAGCTCCTGAGCGCCCCCTGGCGGCCTCCTCGGCTGCGCCCCAGCCTCAGCCTCCACCCCAACCTGAACCCAGATCGGTCCCAGAGTCTGAGCCGGAGCCCGAACGTGAGGCAGCTCCCGCCCCCGCTCCTGCTGCTCCCGAGGACCCCCCAGCACCCCCGGAGTTCCGCTGTCAAGTGTGTGGCCAGAGCTTTACGCAGTCCTGGTTTCTCAAGGGCCACATGCGCAAGCACAAGGCCTCCTTCGATCACGCGTGTCCCGTGTGTGGCCGCTGCTTCAAGGAGCCCTGGTTCCTTAAGAACCACATGAAGGTGCACGCCAGCAAGCTGGGCCCGTTGCGTGCCCCGGGTCCTGGTTCCGGGGCGGCCCGGGCCCCTCAGCCTCCTGACCTGGGCCTGCTGGCCTATGAGCCACTGGGCCCCGCGCTCCTCTTGGCCCCAGCACCCACTCCGGCAGAGCGCCGTGAGCCTCCGAGTCTCCTGGGCTATCTGAGCCTGCGAGCTGGCGAGGCCCGGCCCAATGGTGAGGGCGCTGAGCCTGGGGCTGGCCGCAGCTTCGGAGGCTTCCGCCCACTGCCCTCCACTCTCCCGGCCCGGGCTCGCCGGCATCGCGCCGAGGAGCCAGAGGAGGAAGAGGAGGTGGTGGAGGCGGAGGAGGAGACCTGGGCCCGGAGCAGGGCGTTGGGCCCTCTGGCTTCACTGCATCCCCGCCCAGGCGAGGGGCCAGGGCACTCTGCGCCTGCCGCGGGGACCCAAGCAAGGTCCACCGCCACGCAGGGTATGTAAGGGGTCTTTTCTCTCCAAGGTTTCCACACCCTGGGCCCACTCTGATGCCACCACTGCCCTCCTGTCCCCTCCTTTTAAAAAGACCTGTCTCTTAATTCTCCATTTTTTTTCGCTCCTGGAGGCCACTTTTCACAGGCACAGCACCACTCACAACAAATCCACCCCCTCAGGTTCCCTCAAATGTACTGTTTGCTTCTGGGCCTGGAGGGGAAGGAATCCTAAAGGGTGGGTGTGGGGACGCATGGCCCCGATAGGGTTAGGGCAAAGGGCCATTCTGACTTCCTTAATGTGTGTATTGCAGAAGAGAATGGGCTGTTAGTTGGAGGGTCCCGGCCTGAAGGGGGCCGGGGAGCCACAGGAAAGGATTGCCCCTTCTGTGGAAAATCTTTCCGCTCAGCGCATCACCTTAAAGTGCACCTGCGAGTGCACACAGGTGAGGGGACCAGTCTCTGGGGTGGGGAGGGAATTGGAGGGCAGGAAGAGAGATGAGAGGGGTACCAGATCCGCTTGCTGCTTTGTTAAATCAGAGGGGGTGGGGTGGCAGTGTTTTGTTTTGTTTTGTTTTGTTTTTCTTCTGGTCCAGAGGGGTCTGTACCTAGAGCGAAATGTGGGTGGGGGTGAGCGGTGATTGTGCCTCTGTGACCCTGTCCCACCCGTTTCTCCAGGCGAGCGCCCCTACAAGTGTCCGCACTGCGACTACGCAGGCACCCAATCCGGCTCGCTCAAGTATCACCTGCAGCGCCACCACCGAGAGCAGAGAAGCGGAGCAGGCCCCGGACCGCCCCCGGAGCCACCGCCCCCTTCCCAGCGGGGTTCCGCACAGCCGTCGGGAGCCAAGACGGCTCCGCAGCCTGCGACCTGGGTGGAGGGCGCGGCGAACCCCCGGCCCCCTTCGAGCGCTGCGCCGGGGTCCCGTCGGAAGCCTGCCAGCCCCGGGAGGACCCTGCGCAACGGGCGAGGCGGTGAGGCCGAACCCCTGGACCTGTCCCTGCGGGCGGGGCCAGGAGGCGAGGCTGGGCCGGGGGGTGCCCTCCACCGATGCCTCTTCTGCCCCTTCGCCACTGGAGCGCCTGAGCTCATGGCCTTGCACCTGCAAGTGCACCACAGCCGCAGGGCTCGGGGCCGCAGGCCGCCCCAGGCCGATGCGTCCCCGTCCTACACCCCTGTACAGTCGGGAGAGACCCCTCCCAGTCCTCCGCAGGAAGGGGAGGAGGGCCCCGGGCTGTCGAGATCAGGAGAGGCGGGGCTGGGGGGACAGGAACGGTAGGGAGCCCTCTTAGGGGCGGTTAGCTTAGTGAGCTTACCCCGCGGGAGCGGGGGAGCGCTAGAGGTAGTTGGGTAGAGCAGCCAGCAGGGGGCAGCGTGGGACCCATATCCCAGCCCCAGGCGGACCAGAGGTGGAGGGGGTGGAGGGCGTAGGAGGGTGGGCGGGCGCTACCCACCCAGCCCAGGGGAGTCACAGTGCCTTAGAAGTGGCAGGGGTGAGGATCAAAGAACGGGGTCCCAGGGCTGGCAGAGGGCTGTGTCCCTGTTGAGGAGCCGCTCTGCCAGTCTTTGCTGGTCCATAGGCGTGAGAGTTTATTTTTGTACAATGGGTGGGGGTGGGGGGCACTGTACCCTTCTAGCCCCTTCAGGGGCCCTGTAGACGTCGCTATTTTTGGTACGATTACTGTCATCCCTGTCGCAGAGTTGTGTCCCCAATAAACAGGTGTCTTGAGGCACAGGGCACTGTGTCTGTCTGCCTATGTCCTGTCCTCCTTCAGCCATTTTGTTCAGAAATAATTCACTTCAGGCACTTAGTAATCACACCCAAAGAGCTTAATGAGAAATGAGGAATCTTGGGCTTTACCCTCAGACTTTTGGCTTCAGCAACTCTGGGGCAGGGCCAGGAATTAGCATTTAACAAGTAGCCTAGGAGATTCTGATGCACTGTGGTCTAAGTACTTCATTTTGAGAACTGCTGGACTGTGCTGGATCCCAGCTTGACTGTGACCAGCTCAGCCTCAAGAAGTAGGTGCAGTGAGAGAGGAGAAACTTCAAAGGGTGCACTGAGCCTCTAGGCGCCACTGTGAAGAAGCACATTCTCCTACACCCAGGGCCTGTACGGGTACTGGGTACCTCGAAGCCTTGGTTTTATTTTCTGTGTTCTAGTTAGTGGTTGGGGAAGGGGAAGTGCTCAAGTTAGCAGTATCACCTCAACGCAGAGGTCTGCTCTAGCTCTGCTGAGACAAAGCGTGAGTAAATACATTTAATATAACAATAGTATTATAATAACAGTAATTACATGTATAAAGTTTGCAGTTCCCCACCCCACCCTCCTATAATGGTTTGCATAGCTCTGTTGCCTGTGACACCCCAGAATGGAGTCACCAGGAACAACAGCTGACCTGGCAGAGATGAGTGTTCTCAGGGAGAGTCGGGGTGGGATGGGACGAAGGGGAGAACTCAGGCTGACATGGAGCCGTGTCCTGGGAGTATGCAGCAGCCCAGGATGGGGCAGGACTGGATGAGGGATCATACTCCACCTCCGGAGTATGAAGGCAAGCAAGTGTGGTCACTCTGGTTCCTGCAGGAAGGCACTCGGCTGGAGAGCGCTAGAGATAGCAGCAGGGAAACACGCCGGTCCTGGGACCTCCTCTCTGTCCAGGAAGCAGAGGAAAGGAAGCATTCAGTGCCCTTCCAGTCCTCCACTATGTCCCACTGCCATCCCAGCCCAAAATGTGCTGAGAGGGAGGCTGGAGCCAAGTTCTCCGTCTTCTCTAGAAGCCAGGAGAGAAGAGGGAGATAGGTTGGGAGAGGGGAGAAGCTGACTTCCAAGCAGCCAGGAGGAGGGCAGCACGCACAAAAGGGAAGGCATGCTGGATGTAGTGAAGGGGTACGGACTCACCCAGGTCACAGAGGTGTAGTGGGGTCGCTCAGGGCTCGGGCATGACTCTGCAAGGAGAGGAAGTGCAGTGAACTTAAAGGCTAAGGAAACGTCCTCTTTTCTATACTCCTCCCCATCTCCTAAGCCTGCCAATTCACCTCTCTGTCTTCCTCCTCAAAGTTCCTGAATTTTGCTGATTTAATCCAAGTCCAAATGCTGTTGGCATTACCCCCTTTCCATCCACTCCTGCACTATGCTCCTTTTTTGTTTTTTAATTAAGTTTACTTTTTTTATCAAGTTTACTTATTTATCCTGAGAGAGAGCATGAGTGGGGGAGTGGCAGAGGGAGACAGAGGGAGACAGAGAATCCCAAGCAGGCTCCATGCTGTCAGCACAGAGCCCAATGTGGGGTTCATCCCACAAACCACGAGATCATGACCTGAACCGAAGTCAAGAGTCGGACTTTTAACTGACTGAGCCAGCCAGGTGCCCCCTATGCTCTTTACTTAAGATTCCTTTTTACTTCTAACCTTGAGGCTTCTCAGCCAAGCCTGTGGGAGAGGAGGAAGGCAGACTGGACAATATATACAACCTGCGGTCTTGCTGGGTGCACAGGCTCATTGGTTCCCACTGCCCCCGTGGGTTGAATGATCAGAATATCCCACCCAGAAAGTGGCTGAAGAGATCACCCCATTCCCAGCCCTAACGCAGGGACTTACCTGCCGGGACAGCCCTAAGATCCCTCCACTGGCCAGAGTGGGAGTGCTGCTCCCAGGGTGGGGGGGTTGCAGGCTGGGGCTGTTTCTTGGTCCTGGGGACACATCTCCAGAAGAGTCAAGTGTTTCTGGGGCTGGAGGGGAAGCTAGGGTGAGAGCAGGGTATAGAACCCCTCTAGATTACCTTAAGCAACCAAGCTGCTCCATCAGGGAAGAAAAAGCTCCATAGCAACAGGAAGCTGTGAGTCACCATAGCAATCCATTTGCAAGAGAACCCCCCTACCAAGAGGCAGGAAATTGTCAGCAGCATCATTAGAGCAACCAGGGAAGAAGCGACAGGAAACTATAAGGATTGCCGTGGTGAACCAGGAGGGTACAACAGGAAGCTGAGCAGTTTCCATAGAAACTCAAGGAGAGCTAGAGAGAGAGGTACAGAGGAAGTGCTTCTTAGCAACAGGCTGCTGTAAGCATTACCCTAGCAACCAGATGGAAAGCTCTTTTAGCAATGGGGAAGCTGTACATAGTTGTCATGGCAACTGGGCTACTTGGCTAGAAAAAGGAATTGCTTAGCAGCAAGCAGCCTGAATATCACCACGATGACCCAGCTGTTGAGAGCCACCCCTTGAGAGGTGCCTCACCCAGGGAAATTTGCTTGACGTCCAGATCCCAGGCCTCCTCCTCGACGCGGGCAGGCAGGGAGCAGGCTCCCGGTGAGAGGCCGGGAAGGGAAGGGCCGGCATGCTCAAAGGATGACACGGCCACGGAAGCCCGGGTGCGGGCGGCTGCAGAGAGGGGGGTGGTGGTGGGGTGGTGGTGTGGGAAAGCCCTTCCGGCTCTCTGAAGTGACCCTCAGTCTCATAGAGGGCCTCCCAGTCAGTCCCACAATTTCTGGGAGGACATGTCCACTCATTACCCTTCCTTACTTTTCCACCATGCCTCCCCACTGTGCCCTCACTCTCAAGGTCTTGACTTCTGGGGGCCACCCCCCCCAGCACTCTGGCCCTCACCTCTTCCAGTGAGCAAGGCACTCAGCGTCCGCTCCCCAAGGGCTTTGATGTCCAGGAAGGGTTTATTCCCAATGCCCATGGAGACCATCTGCTGCACTCGGAGCTCTAGGGAACAGAGACCCTGTTACCAACCTCCTTCAGCCCCTCTTCACTCCAAGCCCTAGCACTGGAATGGGAGACACTTCTTTTGCTCCTTGCCAATTCTCATTCATCTGGTATCTCCTATTACTCTTGCTGTCGACTGTTACTACACGGATGGTGATGGTGGTCCTAGACTTCCTCCTCAGACATCCATCTCTTGTATCTTATTTGTTGCATTCTGCCTATTTGGCATTCCAGCCACCCACCTTCTAATACTCACCTTCTGCCCTTTATTGTGGACATTAAGAGCAAACCCCTCATTTTTACATACATTTATAGTTTACCAAGTGTATCCATATATATCACCTTATTTAATCGGGCCTATCACACTAAAATGTAGCTGTTACTTTCCATTTTTCAGATGAGTGGAATGAGGTTCAGAGAATTATAAACAAAAATCCAGCCAAAAAACCCCAAAAAGAAACACACGTACTGGTCTAGGTCACCCAGCAAGTACATTCTGGACCCCAGGTCCAGTGAGCTGTCCCTCATTCCCTTTTGCCCTGCCATTTGCTCTTGCTTTCCTGAAATTGGTAGCTTCCTCTTTCCTTTTGGTACACCTTACACTAATTTCTATGTCAGCAATCTCTCTCAAGTCAGATCTTGAATCATCTCCGAAGTCATTCTTTCTCCATCCCACACCCTGTTTCCCAAGTGGTCTCCACATGCTCTGGCTAACCTGCCATAACCTTGACCCCAAGCACACCCTCCCCTGGCCCTGCCCGGTACCCTTGTTGTGGGCTGCTTGTCTCCACAGCAGCTGGGCAATAGAACTGGTCCACTTGAGTTTGATCTCTGGTGAGGCTGCCTGCAGAGTGTATGCCTCTCGTGCACGCCGCCGCCGAAACCACAACTCAAAGCAGAGGCCGCTGTCACCGATGTTTTCTGTTAGCCCCATGTCAGCAGTCTGAGAAAGAGCGGAGGAGAGTGGGTGAAGACAGAGTGAATCCTGGCTAGATGGTACCACATGGAAAAGCACTACACTTAGCTTGGCATCTGGTGGATGTTCAGTAAATGTTTGCTCAACACCTACCATATGCCAAGTGCTCTACATGTAGGCTTCCTAACAACCATAATTTACAGACGGGGAATGCCCAGAGACAGGAAGCAGCTTGCCCAAGGGTTTATCACAGCTTAGCAGAGAAAGAGGGTTCAAACCCATGTCTACATTATTCCAAACCTAGGCTTTTTTCCCTATACTGTACTCGCCCCAAAAGAGCTGGAATGAACGTAGGGGAGGAAAGTTTAGAAACCCTTAGAATCATGCCGCACTGCCTGACCTAGGTCTCTAGGTCTCTTTTATTTTATTTTATTTTATTTTAAATATTTATTTTGAGAGAGAGGGAGGGAGGGAGAGAGAGAGAGAGAGAGAGAGAACGTGCATGTGTGGGGGAGGGGAGTCTTAAGTAGGCTTCACGTTGTCAGCACAGAGCCTAACGTGGGGCCCCATCCCTCAAACTGTGAGATTGTGACCTGAACCGAAAACAAGAGTCAGGTGCTTAACTGACTCAGCCACCCAGACATCCCCTAGAGATTT